GCTGAAGGCCACTATCAGAGCAACCTGGGCTCTCGTAACACCTGAGCAGTGCCACAGACTGATCGACTCCATGCCACGCCGCATTGCTGCAGTAATTCAGGCAAAAGGAGCCCACACTAAGTATTGAGTGCTGTACATGCTCATACTTTTCATGTTCATACTTTTCAGTTGGCCAAGATTTCTAAAAATCCTTTCTTTGTATTGGTATTCAGTAATATTCTAATTTTCTGAGATACCGAATTTGGGGTTTTCATTGGTTGTCAGTTATAATCATCAAAATTAAAAGAAATAAACATTTGAAATATATCAGTCTGTGTGTAATGAATGGATATAATATACAAGTTTCACTTTTTGAATGGAATTAATGAAATAAATCAACTTTTTGATGATATTCTAATTTTATGACCAGCACCTGTAATGTCGGCCTGCACTCATGTCTGCAGCTCAGTCGGTTTACTACCGAGCTCCTAAAACACTTTTGTAAGACGACAAAGTTAGAAATGTGCGCTACTCTTTTGCACTCTCTAGAATCAGAGATTCCCAGCCACACATTGTCTTTGGAAGAGCTGTGATGTGAAATCCAGCCTTCGGCAGTTCTCAGCCATCCAGGCTCTCCTGTACGAGCTGTGGAGTGTTGGCCTTGTTCTGAAAAAGACTAAACAAACAGAGCTCTCCGCTCCTCACTGTGGAACTCCGCACATCTGTGGGACTAGGGAGGTCTGTTTCCGACCCTGAGACTTCAGCGATGTCAGCTTTATCAGGCTCCGTGTGAAGGTCGGAGCCTGATAATGAATCTTCCCATTACCTTGCTGGAATGTTGTTGGTATGTAAGCGTAGATTGGGATTGTAGTGAAATTCAAATCACAGATTGTTCACAGGACTTTGTTGTAGGAAAGTACAGGTCTATCAAAACTGGGCCCTTAAACGTGTTCTCTTTACCTGGACAGAACAGCTTAAGGATGTGTACTGTGATTATAATAACAAATGCATTAAAATGTGGATCTGGTAAGTGTCTTTCTTTTCCTGAAACATGCTCATCATGACAGTTTGGGGTTTTCGTCCTTCCATTTTAAATGAGTTCGCTTCCCACTAAATTTCCCATCTGCAGCAGCAATGCTTTCATGAATGGATTACGATATTTTATTAATATAATGAAATGCATTTCTTCCTGTGCTGTCCTCCTTTTACTGTTGCACAGATCTCCCACCAAGCTTTAGGCTAAAGCCGTAATAATGTTTTAAAATCAAAATAGAAACACAGGTTGTCATTTAAACAGTGTAGGTGTCTGTGAGCAGTGTATTGTCTAAAATTATGTTCTGCTTTAAGAGTCACATTTAACAGTTTTAATTGAACTATCAGGACATTGTAGTTATCTCAGTCATCTCAGTAGAAAAGCTTCTGATATTTTTTATTAAAAGCCAGAATGAAACATCAGTTAAAGCTACTGTGTGTTCATATTAGTCCTTTCACACCGAGTATTGGTCATGAAATATTTAGTTTTTTTTTTTAACATACAGTATGTGATAAATTAAAGGTGAACAACAACAATTATTTGAGGTTATTTTTTTATTGAAAGGACATGAACATAATGACATGCTTAACTAGTCTACAATACGAGCCGCTGTACATAACTCCACTGATTTGAGTCTCCTCCCGACTCAGGTATGGTAACCGTGGCCACAACCAGCCGTGCATCCACAAGGGAACAGATCGCTGCTTTATCACCAGTCAAAACCACGGCTTCGCTGTCGATCCCAAGACCCTGCCGAAAGACTGGGACGTCCTCTTTACCAATGCCAATGATCACTCCAGCGAGGGCATTGTACACAACACGCAACCCCTGTTCAGGTAATGTGCTTGGAAATGCCAGGTGCTGAGATGACACACACCAGAATTGTCAGTTTGGTTGGTCCGACGCCTTGTTTCCCAATAAAATGTGATGAATCCTTTATGATGTATTTTCTCCAGTGTTCAGTTCCACCCGGAGCACATGGCAGGTCCCACAGACCTGGTCAGCCTGTTCGATGTCTTCCTGGACACTGTCAAGGAGCACAAGGAGGGAAACGCTACACAATCTGGTAAGAACAGTGTCAGTGTTTTGTTTATTTTTTTTTATTTTCATGCATCAGCTCCTTATGTGAAACGCTATTTCTCAGGCCGACTGATGTGACACCTTACACCTGGGGTTTGACTTACATTTGTAAGGTTAACTACTTTTTGATATTGTGTATTTTTAGTTTATTACTGAGACTTTCCCATCTCTCCATCTGTTAGTAAAGATATTCCTGAGGCTTCCTAACAAAAGAAAGTTTTATGCAGTGCTTGCATGAGTGGAACCTTAATATGCTGTAACAATCGACCCAGGTTGTTTAATTGTTGTGACACATTGTTTGTCATTTCAGTATTATTTTCTACTGGTTCATAAAAGTCCATTAAAATGATTCTATTAATACATGTGTCAAAATATAAATATCTATTTTTGTTTTCCCTTCAGTGAAGCAGCGTCTGATGGAGCACCTGACATTCCCTGGTTCCCCAAGGCCTGAAGAGGTATTTCGACCCAGGAAGGTCCTCATCCTGGGTTCTGGAGGGCTGTCCATCGGCCAGGCTGGGGAGTTCGACTACTCTGGCTCCCAGGTCTGTAAAGGAAGACCTCTTCATTGGGGCAGCTAGTCATAGAGGCAAAATCTTTAAAATGAGCATAAAAGTAATTTTGGGCTACAGGAAAATGTAGGACTGTGGGGTGGACGGTGCAGTTCAATCGGCTTGAAAGTTTACGGTTTCTATTCTTAATGTGATCCACAGTTTGAGGTCTTCCACGTGGCTAATGTTCCAGCTGATGTTCTTTTCTTTTATTTTCCAGGCTATTAAGGCTCTTAAGGAAGAGAATATTCAGACTGTGCTGATCAACCCCAACATTGCTACTGTCCAGACCTCCAAGGGACTGGCCGATAAAGTCTACTTCCTGCCGATTACACCGGAGTATGTCACTCAGGTATGGATCTGTAGTAACTTTGTAATTGATATGATGATCTTACTAATAAAACGAGAGAATATGGGAAGTAATAGGCTTTTCACATTCTGGTAGGGCTGCACGATAAATCGTTTTGTGAAAAGTGATCTAGAGCCCTGTGCTATCTCACGTGACAATGGTTATTCTGTGTTTGCGTTAGCAGTGAGATCCCTTGCATCAAACCAAGCGCTCCCTTTTCCTCGACAAGCCGCATTAACCAACAGCAGGCATGCGTGATTCAGAAACTAATCCAACATGTCTGACATGCTGCATGTCCTCCCACGTTTTTTTGTTACAGGTGATAAAAAATGAACGTCCCGACGGCGTCCTGTTGACTTTCGGTGGTCAGACTGCTCTGAACTGTGGCGTGGAGCTGACCAAGCTGGGCATCCTTGAGAAATATAAAGTAAAAGTTCTGGGAACACCAGTGGCCTCCATCGAGATGACTGAAGACAGAAAAATCTTTGTGGAGAAGATGGAAGAGATCAACGAGCATGTTGCTCCCAGTGAAGCGGCGCTTTCTGTGGAGCAGGTGAGGACACACTGGCATATCAAAGCAAGCAGCCCAGATTCATTACATCTAGTCTCTCGACACCTGGCTTCTAGTCAGCTTTTTCCTGTAGTTTGTGCTTCTTGAACATGCACTTTTACCTTCACTAGGCTTTGGCAGCTGCAGAGCGTCTTGGCTACCCCGTTCTGGTTCGTTCAGCATTCGCTCTTGGTGGTCTGGGCTCCGGCTTTGCCAACAACAAAGAGGAGCTAACCTCTCTGGTGATGTCGGCCTTTTCCCACACCTCCCAGGTGCTAGTGGATAAATCCCTGAAAGGCTGGAAAGAGATTGAGTACGAGGTGGTTCGGGATGCCTACGATAACTGTGTCACTGTGAGTAAAGAAGATAAACACCATTAAGTGTAATGAAAACTAGCATCATCAGTGCATGGCGCATTTAGGTTAAGTGTAATACTACCAAACTTAAAATGGCATTTGGTGCACAGTTGTTGATATTGTGTGTTTTCTATATCAGACAGAGATGTCCCACTTGACAGTGAGCTGCAGATGTGACTATGAGTTGTGTTTAGGTGTGTAACATGGAGAATATTGACCCTCTGGGCATCCATACTGGAGAATCCATTGTGGTGGCGCCCAGTCAGACACTGAACGACCACGAGTACAACATGTTGAGGAACACAGCCATCAAAGTTGTCAGGCACCTTGGCATTGTGGGAGAGTGCAACATCCAGTACGCTCTGAACCCTGAATCTGATCAGGTAAAAGCTGCGCTCCATGTTCTGAGAGCCCAAACGAACAGCCCAGCACAGACTGTTCTAACCAGAGTGTTGAATGTTTTTGCAGTACTACATCATCGAGGTGAATGCCCGTCTGTCGCGGAGCTCGGCCTTGGCCAGTAAGGCGACAGGTTACCCCCTGGCCTACGTAGCAGCTAAACTTGGCCTGGGGATCCCACTTCCATTGCTCAAGTACGTCTCTCTCTTGAAGCGTTATAGTCGACAGTGTTAGACGAGATTATTGTCCATCATCTTTAAGCCCTCTATAACTTTCTGGACTTTTCTGATTTCAGTAATGAAAAATGTTCATAGGTTGCTTTGAAAATAATGTAATTGTACAATCTTTTTCAGGAACTCTGTGACCGGCTCAACAACAGCAAACTTTGAACCTAGTCTGGACTACTGTGTGGTGAAGGTGCCTCGCTGGGATCTCAGCAAGTTCCTCAGGGTCTCCACCACGATCGGCAGCTCCATGAAGAGTGTTGGTAGGAGGCGGTGATAAAACAATTTTGCTTATTCTTTTTGCCATAATGAATGAAATGTGTTGGATAAAGGAAACAGTTTGCTGTGATTTTAAGAGCCCACAGAGATTGTTATTAACAATAGGGAGCTGTAAACTAAACAGGCAAAGCAGCAGGAACACAAACAGTTTCAACAAGTAGATTATCACTGAAACTTAACTCCCAGTGTGTGGAGAATCTAAAGCCTGTCAAATGTGACTTAGTGAGTTTTTGAGCGAGTCACAAGCTTGTTCCATGAAGTGTTGCAGTTCGCAGAACACGTGCATTTGTCTGAATACTTCTCTCGACAGGTGAGGTGATGGCTATTGGCCGTAGCTTTGAGGAGGCCTTCCAGAAAGCACTGAGGATGGTGGATGAGAACTGTGTGGGCTTTGACCACACCATCAAACCTGTCTCTGAAAAGGTAAAATAAACAAGGAAGCAGTTTGTACTTTCTAATTTTCTGTTTTCACTGTTCAGCTGTCAGTTGTGAGTTTCTCTTAAATGTTGTCACTGCTGATAATTTTAATCATGACATTACGTTCAGCGTTCATTGTCACATAATGTCAAAGTTTCTATGTCAAGTCACAAAATACACTTCGCTGCTCTCTCTAGACGTGGTGTAATGATACAAGCCTTACTGTATATGGCTCATTGTTTATAAAGCAATCTGTATCTTCAGCCATTACTGATGTCACTAAATATAAACTTAGCTTCAGCAACATGCTCTTAGCTGACAATGGTATCTATTTTCATCAGACTAACTCACCATGCCTTGTTCTTGCTCCTTCTGCTCACCAGGAGTTGCAGACTCCCACCGACAAGCGTATCTTTGTGTTGGCAGCGGCGTTCAAAGCCGGCTACACGGTGGACCAGTTGTATGAGCTCACCAAGATCGACCGCTGGTTCCTACACAAGATGAAGAACATCACTGACCATGAGCGACTGCTGGAGATGTACAGCCAGGTGCGGTTTGTAACAGGTAACTAAGGTGTGAAATTAACAGCAGTTTCCTTATCCATGACATGTCTTTGTCCTTTCCACCAGGATGAGAGCAGCGTCCCCCCAGAGGTGATGCGAAAGGCCAAGCAGCTAGGCTTCTCAGACAAGCAGATTGCACTGGCTGTACAGAGGTGGGCAAAAAGCAAATGAGGACCCGAGATCATGTTATAAAATCATTTCAAACCAGCAGCTGCAGCAGTTTTGTATCGCAAAGTTTAATTTGTAGGCCAGACTATGAAAAGGCTGACGTATTAGGGTGTGCAGACGATCTTGTCATGTATGAAGGCTCAGTTAATGAGTCTCTGTGTTGATCCAGGCAGCTTATCAGTGTCTTTCCTGTTACAATAGCCTGCTCTTTCATTGCTGTGTATGTGGATAAATGGCTCTTTACATGAAGTGATACGAGCTTAAAAAAAACAGAATTGTGTGAAGTTTGTGTTTCCTGCTGTGAGTTTTACCCATTTCCTCATTCCACAGCACGGAGCTAGCTGTAAGGAAGCTGCGTAAAAACTGGTCCATCCTCCCTGTAGTGAAGCAGATTGATACGGTGGCGGCCGAATGGCCTGCCCACACTAACTACTTGTACCTGACCTACCACGGCACAGAGAACGACCTGAGCTTCACCGAACAGCATGTCATGGTGATCGGCTCCGGCGTCTATCGCATCGGCAGCAGTGTGGAGTTTGATTGGTGCGCAGTCGGATGCATCACAGAACTCAGGAAGGTAGGTCTGACAGGGTCTCGTAATGTGGGAGTGTCATGGACTTTTCTAGATTCATTTAAAACTTTTTTTCTTTACTTAAAGCTACATTAGACAAACTAAACTAGCAGTGAGGAGTTTTTATAATTATTTTTCTTTAATTCCGAGCTGTAGAGAGCGTGTTCTTTGTTAATATGTCTGGTATGTGATCGTTTTTACCAAAGAATAACAAAAGGCATGTGAATGAAACACAAAAATAATTGAATGTTATTATTGACTGATTTAAAAAAGAATATGCAAAGAAGTTTTAAACAGCGTAATTAAAAAAATGTGTCAAGGAATTTATATATTTTAATTAAGAACACAAACTGATTTTAAACAATTTACAATAATTTTCAAATCTTAGCTCTCAGCACTGAAAATGATGGCTGTTGAATGAGAGCTCTTATTACAGCTCACTGAGCTTGACAAGTAAATTCTGCTGCGGCCAAACTTTGTAATTCGAACCCAACAAAGTGATTTTCTTTCTTATTTTGAAAGATTAACTTAACATTTTTGAAACATTTATTTCAGATGGGTTTTAAAACCATCATGGTGAACTACAATCCTGAGACAGTCAGTACGGACTATGACATGTGTGACCGCCTCTATTTTGATGAGATCTCCTTTGAGGTAAGTCTTTTCTACTGCAGCCTTACTAAAGGCGAAGCTGGAGCCTTTACATTAAAGACTGTGTCAGAAAAATGATAACGAGATGGAAATGATTTAATTTTCCATCTTATGATGGTGTTGTACTGGATTGTTACAGTTAGTATGTAAGGGAGAAAAAACAGCAGCAATGTCTGACAATATTATGCAGTTTAATGTAACACAACAAACTACGGCCTCAAAAATAACCATAGAACTTAACACCTCTGTGTCGTCTCAGCAGACAGTAAGAGATTAATAAAAGCAGCATCAGCTGCATTTCATAGCCTCTGCTTCTCATGTAGACTCTGAGACTTCTGTCCTGTACATATGCCAGGTGGTGATGGATATCTATGAAAAGGAAAACCCTGAGGGAGTGATCCTGTCAATGGGAGGCCAGCTTCCCAACAACATCGCCATGTCGCTGCACCGCCAGCAGTGCCGCATCTTGGGAACTTCACCCGAGTTCATCGACAATGCAGAAAACAGGTTCAAGTTCTCAAGAATGCTGGACACCATCGGCATCAGTCAGCCACAGTGGAAGGAGCTCTCTGACACTGAGGTAACACCAGAATATGTTTACAACACACCGAGTTCTTTGATTTCAAAATATGAAAATCCAGGTGTTTCAAATCCACTCAGGATTTCAAAAGCAGCACTGTGACATTTTGGAGGGCCAAAGGTCAAGGTCAAGTGTTTATTGTTATATGCACAGTGAGGAAACACGTTTCCCTGTACAATGCCATTCCTACTTTGCCATCCACACGAATGCCACACAATATAAGTGAAATATAACGCAGATACATGGGAACCAAAATGTAAATCTCAAAATTTAATGCACTGTAAAACAGCCGATGAAAGAAGCATAATGAAGAATACAACAAGAACACAATATGATGAAGGGAGAATGTATGCTACATGGGAGCATTCTTGTGATAGAATGATTCTGTGCTTATGTGGCATATTTTTTAATAGCTTGTGGTTTTGTGATGTACTGTTAGGTTTTGTTCTGCACACTGTGCTACAGGAAGACAAATTGGTCTTCCTAACAGTGCATTTTACATTCCCTATCTCTTTCCTGTAGTCTGCTGTGAAGTTTTGTGAGACAGTGGGTTACCCCTGCGTCGTTCGTCCTTCCTACGTTCTCAGCGGTGCAGCCATGAATGTCGCCTACAGTGACCATGACCTTGAGAAATACCTGACTAACGCTGTAGCAGTGTCCAAGGAGCACCCTGTTGTCATCTCCAAATTCATACAGGAGGCCAAGGTTAGAAAAGCGGCTCACAGTTCATTAAGATGGACTCTGAGATTATCAGTCAGAAGGACTTAATCCATAACTTACAATAATTTAAGCAGAGTTTGTTGCGGTGAAATGTCTGCACCCCATCAGTATGAACCATATAAAATCAAGTCAGCAAGGTTTTTCACTTTCAGGAGATAGACGTGGACGCAGTAGCATGTGATGGCGTAGTGATGGCCATTGCAGTGTGTGAACATGTGGAAAATGCAGGTGTTCACTCTGGCGACGCCACCTTGGTGACGCCGCCCCAGGACCTCAACCAGAAGACCATGGAGAGGATCAAGGTGATCGTTCATGCCATTGGCCAGGAGCTGCAGGTCACTGGACCCTTCAACCTGCAGCTGATCGCCAAGGTGGGTATTCTTCTGGCGATTCTTCCGTGTTAGTTTTAATAACTCCAATAACATGGATAAGTCATAGTAGGGGTGGGCGATGGTCACTTGAGATAATATCATGATATTGTAGTTACTGTATATGTGACGTTTCAGCCATTTAAACTGGTTTTCCTTCAGGCCTTAACATTGACATTTTTACCAAGTTGGTCTATTTGGCCCAACAGTTGAATCTTGTATTTTGATTTATAGGATGACCAGCTGAAGGTGATTGAGTGCAACGTCAGGGTTTCTCGCTCCTTCCCCTTTGTATCAAAGACCTTGGGTTTGGACCTTGTTGCCCTGGCAACCCAGGCCATTATGGGGGAGGAAGTGGAGCCTGTGGGCCTAATGAATGGAAAAGGGATTGTGGGAGTCAAGGTAACCCAGCAAAGTTAAACTATGACTTTTTATCACTTGTTGGGACTATATAGAGAGCAAGAGTCCATTTCAGCTCACGCTGTCATGTATTCCTCCCAACCGCATGTCACATGTACTCTAGGTTCCCCAGTTTTCATTCTCTCGGCTGGCCAGAGCTGATGTGGTGCTTGGGGTGGAGATGACCAGCACTGGAGAGGTGGCCTGTTTTGGAGAAAACCGATATGAGGCTTACCTCAAAGCCATGCTCTCCACAGGCTTCAAGATCCCCAAAAAGAACATCCTGCTCTCCATCGGCAGCTACAAGGTACCTGCAGAATGGGACTGATATCTAAATTAAACACTCTTTTAAGCAGGGAGCCAACAGTCGGTAACTTGGCAAATGTAAATGTCGTGTTCAGCTGGAAGTTGATCATTTGCAGTGTAGAGATTAACTGCTTTGCAATGTCATAAGAAATTGTAATTGACATTAGATACTGGGTTTCAACTGTAGGAACCTACCAAACAGAATGTGTAGCACTTGTCCCAGGCTCTACTTCTGTTTTCACTGCCCTCCACCTGCTTTGGAGGAAAGTTCTAGGAGCTAAATATCAGCACCGCTCAGGAGGTACGCTACCAGTCAAATGTCTGGACACACCTTCCCTTTCAACATAATGTGAAAGTGCATCCAGACTGTTGGGCGGTGTGTGCTTACAGGGCTCGTAAGGTTCCGTCATTAGATGCCAGACTCTTCTCAAGATATATAATTGTTTATTTACAGCTAAGTCACAACGTATTGTACACGCCTGCAGCACTTCCCCTGCAACCTCTTACTCCCTAACCAATGCAGCTTCTAGTGTTAAAACAAAGCAGGGAGCTGCGTTTTTGCTGAGCTGTATGGTCACACTATGTCATACTGGCCTGGTTCTGTTATATACTGATATCACAAGGCAGCTTTTGCCTCGCTGAGAATTATCGTCACGTTTAATATTGTGAGATCTCGTCACAAGCCCTAGAGGTCAGTGCTATAAAGGGCTGAAAGCATGAAGAATCCTCGTTTGACAGTTTACTGTTGCCTCTACCAATGTTTTTTAGCCAGAGTTGTTGATGCTTTGTGTTTTCAGAACAAGAGTGAGCTGCTGCCCACTGTGAAGACGCTGGAGTCTCTGGGTTATGACCTGTATGCCAGTATGGGCACTGCTGATTTCTACACAGAACATGGAGTGAAGGTAATTCTCTTTAAAATAAGCTTCAGTAGTTTGATGTGTAACACCAGGAGTCTCATCAGACATGGAAAAAGCATACTGACACCTAGCGATTAGTATGTACTGCATATAATAAATGAACTCAATGTGGAGTAAAACGTAGTATTTCTGATGTGACAAAGCTCAGCTTTAAGTCCTAGATAGGTTAATTTAAGTATTTAGTCCTTGCAGCATGTCCATATGTACATGGGGGCCAGTTCTTTGAAAGAGTTTGTGACAGTATGATGTACAGTATACTAGCTGTTAAATAATCTGTCTTTGAACACTTTTATTCTTGATGGTGCAAATTCCAACCCCAGACTGTCACTTCTTTTAGTGTACAATATAATATTGACTAAGGTGTGATGCCAGGTAAACACCTGTTTCTGTCTGTACGGCTTTTAGAATTTATTGTAAATTTGATGATTTATAGAGCAAAAGAGTCAAACAAACGGTGTCATGTCAGAGGTGGAACAATGATTTATGTTAGTGTCGGCTGTCTGCCCAATTTATGAAACGGCACTGTGGTTGCTATATGCTGACTAGTTATAAAACAAAGCCATGAGGCTCATCTACCTCCTTGTCTCCAGGTGACAGCGGTGGATTGGCTGTTTGAGATGGATGACGACAGTGAGTGTCCCACCAAAGACAAGCAGCGCAGCATCATGAATTACCTGGCTGAAAACCACTTTGACCTGGTCATCAACCTCTCCATGAGGAACAGTGGAGGTCGCAGGCTCTCCTCCTTTGTCACCAAAGGCTACAGGACGAGACGTATGGCCATCGACTACTCTGTCCCGCTCATCATCGACATCAAGTGCACCAAGCTCTTTGTTCAGGTGAGTTGTGACTTTTTGTGTCAGGTGATTTAGACTAAACGAGTTTAAATGGTCTGTAACTTTCAGCTTGAATTTTGATGCAGTAGTTTACAGTTTCAGTTGGAGAGTGTCTGCGGTGGCTGAACGCAACAGTTCTAAGCTCGCATCAGATTCACTTTGGGACTGGAAACACAACTGTTTCACTTCAACCTGCCTGACAGAGTTGTTTCTGGGTGCCAGGACTTTGCTTACAGTTGTGTGGCAACATGTGTAAAACGATCTGATGTGTTGCAGGCTCTTCATCAGGTCGGTAGGATGCCACCAGTGAAAACTCATATTGACAGCATGACATCCCAGACCCTGGTCCGCCTGCCTGGTGAGTCTCTGCAACCAGCGGAAGCAGCTCTTTGTTGATGTTGCTTGTGTTTACTAGTCTTCTCTTCTCAAATAAAAGAACACGCCTCACACTTGCAGCAGTTTGGCATCTCAGTTGCATCTCATCGCCAGGTCAAATTGTTGTTTTGAACAGTATTAAAAAAAAAAATTGCACTACTAGTAGAAAATAATACTTGTAGAAAAAAATAATACAAAAGTTTCAATTTGACAGCTGTTGTTTACATTTCTTTTCTGAAACCTGGACAGTGTGTGAATCATGTTTAGGCAGATCTGCCATGTTTATGTCACACATGATCAAAACCAGGATAAGACTAGTGTGCATGTTGTCAGTCATTCTCTGATGGCAAATTTTAACAAGGTCTGTTTCTTTTGTGACTGATTCTCAGGTCTGATCGATGTTCACGTTCACCTGCGGGAGCCTGGTGCCACCCATAAAGAGGACTTCTCCTCTGGCACGGCAGCTGCTCTGGCAGGAGGAGTGACGCTGGTGTGCGCGATGCCCAACACGTCCCCTGCCATCACTGATCCTGGTACTCTGGCTCTGGTGCAGAAGGTTTGTTTCTGCTGTAGTGCGTCAACCCATCTGAAAAGATCAGTTTAATGTTAGTGTAAAGCCAGAAATGTTTTTATATGGCATTTTTAAATAGAAATTTAATTGAAATGGGGGGAAAGTATCAGACCTGTTTCTGTGTCATCAGCTGGCCAAAGCAGGCTGCCGCTGTGACTACGCACTGTATGTGGGTGCTGCCTCAGACAATGTTGCTGTCCTGCCGTCCATGGCTAGCCAGGCTGCTGGTCTGAAGATGTACCTGAACGACACCTTCTCCACATTAAAGATGGACAACGTCTCTCTCTGGATGGAAGTAGGCTAAGTCACTAAACTCCACACTATCAAATGAAAACAGACTTTGTTTACAAAAAAAGTTTTCGTTTTCCAGGGGATTTGATTTGTTCTTTATGATGATGGAAATATGTACTAAGGTAAGTGACAGTTAACATAAGTGTGTTTTCCAAAATGAAGTTTTCATCTGGCACAAGCCAGTAAACCTTTTCTTAGTGCTTCAGGTCTGTTCATATATAGGGCACTAAAAAGAGCAGGTCCATCAAACCCGGTGGTGGTGACATTACCAGGCTGCCATTATTGTTACTGGGACACTTAACAGTAGTTTTTGTTCTTTAAAATAGTATAAGCTAAAGTAAATCGAATAAGAATTGAGCTTTTGTTTACAGTTAATTTTTACAAATTATATTTTGTCAAAACATATTTTAGAACTTCAGTTTCCTTTATTTTGAGTCAGATTAGGATCTAAACCATTCACATTTGAATTAAAAATCATGTTTTCTGACACTAGACCAAACATTTTTTGGTCAGTGCACTCTGGAAATTTGCAGACAGTATTTAGTGGCTACATCTTAAGCCTTAAAACCTGCTTCTTCATGAAGACCAGTGTGAAGTTAGTCTTAGCTTCCCACCCCATCCACTAATGGAACCTCCTGGTTCTGTTTACAGCATTTTGAGAAGTGGCCGAAGCAGATGCCCATCGTAGCTCACGCTGAGAAGCAGACGGTGGCTGCAGTCCTCATGGTGGCCCAGCTTTACCAGCGGCCAGTTCACATCTGCCACGTGGCCAAGAAGGAGGAAGAAAAAGAAGGTTTAAAAAAAAAAAAAAAAAAAAAATATTTTCAAATAGTTATTTTGTAAACAGTGCAATACCGGGCTGTGAAAAGATGAGAATATTGCTGTTGGTTTTGTAACTTATTCTCTAAATTTGGTTACGTTTATTGTCTAAACATTGTGTGTGCACCATAGACTGTATATAGAGATGAATGACATGTCAACACTTCCCTCCACTATGTAAAAGGTGAAGCCAAAATATCATAAATATGGCGGCTGCCATCTTGGTGTTTTGCAGCCAGATTCTGAGGAGGTGCGACGAGAAGTGGAGTGACGGCAATCAAAGCTGTCAAATCACCTGAATGCACCCCTTTTTATATCAACAAATAACTTAATAAAAACACACTTGCTAGAAAAATTACCACTTGTACCAAAAATGACAGAAATCAACTCTGGGAAAAATCTCCTTGAATTGTACTTAGAATTTTTAGTTTGTCTCATTTTGCTAACATGAAGGGGTGGGTTTTAGGACCTATACTGCAGGGGGGGGGCAACTACTTCTGGGCACCTTCATGTCATCCATCTTGTATACAGTCAATTGTATTCACCTGAATGTTACTTAATCGGTGAGAATAATACCCATTTTCATCCAGCCTGTCCTCATAATGCTCTAACTCGCCCTATGGTGCTTACTTGCAGTATATACTTTAATCCATTGTACTTTTTAGATTTTGCCTGCATTGTGTAACATGTCACCTTTTCCACTGCTCAGTTGGCCCAGTTTCTCCATGGGATTAAAATGACCTACCTCTTCTTGATCAGCTCCTGATCATCCGGGCAGCCAAACAGAAAGGAATCCAGGTAACGTGCGAGGTGGCCCCTCATCACCTCTTCCTGTGCGAAGACGATGTGGCAGATATAGGAGAAGGACGTGCGCAGGTCCGCCCCATGCTGGGAACCCGTGAGGACATGGAGGCTCTCTGGGAGAACCTGGACATCGTTGACTGCTTTGCCACTGACCACGGTCAGTAACCATGCACTCTGGTTCAGTCACTGCCCACAGGAACCAGTGCTACCTCAGCCCTGAGCTGCATGATCTTTGTGTTGTGTGTCTAGCTCCCCACACCGTAGAGGAGAAGAATGCTGATTGTCCTCCTCCGGGTTACCCTGGCCTGGAAACGATGCTGCCGCTGCTGCTAACTGCCGTCAGCGATGGGCGTCTGACTCTGGACGATATTATCACACGTCTTTATGACAATCCACGAAAGATCTTCAACCTGCCGGTGCAGGAGAACACCTATGTGGAGGTACACACAAACACATATGCAATAACAGGATATAATTATTTACATGGCTATGGGTGTTGTGTTTTTTAATGCTTACACAGAGTCAGACAAATAATGCTCACGCTTCTTCTTTGCTTTCAGGTGGACTTGGAGCAGGAGTGGGTTATTCCTGAGGCCATGCAGTTCACCAAGTCCAAGTGGACACCTTTCCAAGGTCTGAAGGTGAAGGGTAAAGTCCGCCGCGTAGTTCTGCGAGGAGAGGTGGCCTATATCGATGGCCAGGTCAGTATTTTTTTGTGCTTTTGACTCGGGGGAGCTGTATTAACTTAAATGTAAACTCAACAGGGTGAACTTCACTGTATAGCTTTTCTTATCACTGCCGTGACCTACAACATTTCTTCTTCATCTTAGTTTTGCTTTGGTATAAAATGTCATTTATGTTCAAATGTTAAATAATTATACATTAACAGTACATGTATGGAACACATAAACATAAAAACAATGACTATAAAACATTTATTTGCCTGATGTTAGACAGAAGAACTGCTTCAACCCATTTCTGTCTCTCAGGTGTTGGTACCTCCAGGTTATGGTGAAGATGTGAAGACGTGGGCCAAGGCTGCCGTCCATCCTTTAAAGCCTGTTAAAGAAATCCCTATGGTATTATAAGTGAATAAACAGAAATAAGTCCTACTCTAGTCTTATGCATAGACTGCTTGAAACCACTGTGTGACTGCTTATCTTCTGTGTAAGTACTGGACATTATGATCATTTATTCTGAAAATGTCTATTTCTTGTGCGTTAGAGTCCTGAGCACCTTCGTTGCACTCCTCCTCGGGAAAGCCTGGTTCGAACCCGAGCACCCAGCCCTCGTCGCTGCGTAGGAGAGAACCGCTTCATACTGCCACCCCGCATCCACCGCTGCTCTGATCCTGGACTGCCACCAGGTAGCACAACTCCCATAATGCTTTGACACACATCTACTATAGTGAGTATCATGCAGTGTAACAAGGAAACACAATTCTTCTTTTCTTTTGAGTATTTATATTTGACCAAAATACACAGATGAACACAGTTTGATTCCCTGCCTGCCCCACCCACATACAGACTGAAAAGGAATTTGCTTAAAAGGAACAAGTTGTAATGAAAGAAAAAATACTTCCTCTTCAGTTGTTTTAAAGACACAAGGTCATTATCACAAAGAAAGGATCAAAAAATGGTGCTGTATAACTGATAAAAATAATGTGTACATGGTGTCATTGTTCTCACCGTAGAGATGAGCTTGTTCTCAGCGGCCGGTGCCAGTGATGGTTACAGCCTCCCTCCTCCTCTGTCCAGGCTGCTGTCTCCCGTGCCTGGAACAGGTCTGACACCTTCTGGACAGTTGTCCCACATCCAGATGTCCCCTTTCCTACACCTGCTGGTTGGCCAGCACATCCTGTCTGTCAGCCAGTTCAGCAAGGAGCAGGTACACTTAGCAGATGACACACAGAGCGTGATTCAGTTTCATGATAAAAACATCTGTCTAATTTGTAGGATGCTTTTTTTCCTATTTCAGATCTCACACCTTTTCAATGTTGCCCACACTTTGCGTTTGCTGGTTCAGAAGGAACGAAGTCTGGAAATCCTGAAGGTAGGTGACCTTCAGAAAGGTGTTCACACATGTCCTTTCACTGGAGACCAACTCCTGCATGTCTGAACACCCAAACACGGTGTTAAACCTTGACATGTTTGTTTGAGACGTGTACAAGTTGGTATTTTTCTGCGATTGTGTGTCAGACTGCAGAAAAGTGACTGTGCTCTCAGCTCAACAACTCATTCTTTTATGTTTTTGCTGTGCAGGGTAAGGTGATGGCGTCCATGTTCTATGAGGTCAGCACTCGCACTAGCAGCTCCTTTGCAGCAGCCATGCAGCGTCTGGGCGGCTCAGTCGTCCACTTCAGCGAATCCACCTCATCCACACAAAAAGGAGAATCGCTGGCTGACTCCGTTCAGACCATGAGCTGCTATGCCGACGTTCTGGTGCTCCGACACCCAGTACCTGGAGCTGTAGAGGTGAGCTTCAGGGATGTAAAGTTCAGACATGATTCATGGGCCTTCACCACTTATTACTGAAGTATAAACCAAATCATTTGGCATGCAGGTAGTACTGCAGATATCCAAAAAGTGCATAGAAACAAGGTTCACTTCATTTTTCTTTTGATCATTTAACTGCATCTCATGGGCTTCATCAGAGTACTGATGGCTCAGGTGTCATCACATGACTTAATCATTTTCCATGCTCAAAAGTAAATACCAAGTAAAATTTGTTGAAACATACTAATACTGTAGCATTACACAACCTCTTACTAACACCAGTTTGGAGAATGTTCACTTTGTTCGTGTTCATACAACTAATGTCCCCCTGCGCCATTCAGAGTGCATCTCGTCACTGCCGTAAGCCGCTAATCAATGCTGGAGATGGTGTGGGAGAACATCCGACCCAAGCCCTGCTGGACGTCTTCACCATCAGAGAGGAACTGGGGACGGTCAACGGCATGACGGTGAGGGGCAGGACAGCCTTTTACATTTAAATCCTTAGAGAGCTTAAACTGGAACAGAGCTATATGTAGAAAGCCAGTAAATGATTCTGTGTCCTTCCAGATAACCATGGTTGGAGATCTGAAGCACGGCCGCACGGTTCATTCCCTCGCCAAACTGCTGACTCAGTACCGCATCACCCTGCGCTACGTGGCTCCCAAGAACCTCCACATGCCAGCCGAGATCATCAGCTATGTGGCCTCAAAGGGCATCAAACAGGTGTGAACGCTGTGCATGAATACTGCACATACAAAAATGTAGCATGACAGCAAACCAGCTGTTGAGGGATAATCGGATTTGTTTCACTGTAGCTTTAAACATTTTGAATAATAAAAATTCTAAAAAAAAAAAAAAAAAAAAGCAAACATGTAATTTAATTACTTCAGTCAAATTATAACGGACTCAGACTAAATAAGATCATGTTTGCCTGTGTGCAGGAGGAGTTTGACAGCATTGAGGAAGCTCTGCCTGAGACCGATGTCCTCTACATGACGAGGATCCAGAAGGAGAGGTTTGCATCTGAGGAGGAGTACGAGGCCGTAAGTGAACTTTTCTCATTTTATTAACCGTGTTTGGTTTCTTTTCAGATTAGGATAGACAAAATGGTCTGGAGGCATCTTCGAATATACGATGCCTTCTACATTTTATTGCACTTCAGCACACTGTCATTTGAAAACTTGATTGAATTTTTTTGGAAATCCAAGATTTGGGTCTCTGTTTTAAAATGTGTGGCTTTGTGAATTCTTATACAATTAGGTTGTTCTTGTTTTACTTTCAGTGTTTTGGTCAGTTCATCCTCACTCCTCACATCATGACTGTAGCCAAAAAGAAGATGGTAGTGATGCATCCATTGCCCAGAGTCAATGAAATCAGGTAAGGCCCCCTCAGAACCATTCTACATGATCAGAGCTGGGAGAAACTGGTCTTTGCTGCAGCAGTTCACCGTTGTTTTGGCAGCACACAGAAAACCAACAGTAGAGATGGTCATTACAGTGTGCTCTGGCTCATATGTGTGCTTAACTAGCCAACAGTATGTAAATCAGATGCAGTTCGATGCTTTAGTCTTGTTCATAACCTACATGGACCTGAAACACTGTTTCATTTTCTTTTAGTGTGGAGGTGGACACAGACCCGAGAGCAGCGTATTTCCGTCAGGCAGAGAATGGAATGTACATCCGAATGGCCCTGCTGGCCACCGTACTGGGCAGATAAACCCATGTACTGCCTCTTTGTAGCACACATGGGTAGACGGTAAAAGAGTAGTGATAAGTGTTGACACAGTACCTTCATGTTCTTTCCTGCAGTAACACAATCCAGAGCCCAGTCCTCCATGGGTGTTGAGACTTTATGAAAACATTAAGATGCACTCCAGTGAAACCACTACCTGTTTCTCATCCATATATAAACAGCACCTGGATTTTTGTGTCTTAAAACAATTACCAGCTGTTTTGGGGACCAGAGATTTTTTTTTTTTTATCGCTTCTTTGCGATGGTTAACACACCTGACTAGAGGAGAAGGAGAAGACTGGAGACGGGCATTTAATGAAGAGCAAGATTAAGAATTGAAATATTTTTTTACTTGTGTAAAAGGATCAGCAACTGTAACCAAGGTCTGTTTGTTCAATTGCTCAGGTGTGGGTAGCTTTCAAAGGACCTGTTGGGTTGTTTCAAGGGGGAAGACAGCTGTGTGCTGGCTGTGTGAAGTTTATCATAACCAGCAGCCGGGATTATACAGGTTCTGACCAGTGACAGTGCCAGTTATTTCTGTTGTAAGAAAAGACTGTTGGCTTCTATAATGTTCCTTTTTCTTTTCTTTAAATGTGTAACATTAACTGAAAATGGATCAGATAATCTTCGGTCCTTGATGGTGTAGGGGTAATTATTGTAACTGTGATTTCTTTACACTGTAGAAGTTCAGAAAGGAACTTTTTTAAAAATACAAACAGGAACTAAATGTCAGTGAATGACTTTCCATAATGTGAAGGAAATAAATGATAATAAAAAGATCATTTTCCTTTCTGCACTTGTCATTTATATTCACCACAGACAGGAACTGGACGTCTTGTGTCTTTGTGTTGTCCCATCTCCACTGGAATTGTTAAATAAAGGCAGAAACAGAGATTGAGTTGCAGATCCAATTTGAACAGATTTCTCCCACAGATTAAACAGGATATTCATGGTGGTTGTTAAATTATAGTTGGTCATATTTGTCTTGAAACTGTAGGATGAAATTGTGAAACAGAATAACAGGACCTTCATTTGTCCATACTTTTGCTTAAATAGCATTTTGAATGCAAGACTTTTACTTAAAATTGTGCATTTTTACCATTTTAGTGGTATCTAAGTACAGGATGTGAATGCTTCTTCCATCTACTCCTGTAAAAAAAACCCTTGATACCATATAGTTGGATACAGGAAACACTTTATGCATTTTAATTTGGCGTGCTTTCATGTTATTGTCTGATATTTTATGAAAAAATACACGTTTCTGTTTTAATCCTTTGTTAAATATTACATTTCTACAAGCTCTTTTCCTTTTGGAAATAGGCCTACTGACATTTATCACTTTTTAATGATAAACACTTATTGCAATATACCAGGCACCCTTTTGATCCTCTACATTGGTCTATTCTGAGATCGTAAAACTGAAATAAATATCTGACTTTAATATTCGCTGTTTTACTTGAAAAGTGGAGTTTGGACGACACATTGAAAGCATCATCCCATCAGTCTCATTTCCTGGAAGGAGGAATCAGCCAATGTCCTCTGGCAGAGAGAGCCGTACGCCATCCGGAGGGAGTGTGGTCGAGCTCCGAATGCAGCCACAGCTACTGGTCGCTGTGAGAGGGCGCTAAATTTTGAATGTTGGTTTGTGCATTGTGGTGGATAAAAATTACAGACCTGT